AAAAAAAAAAAAAAAAAGCTAGCAACCTTAAGAACGCAATGAAACCAGAGTAAACACACCAAATCGTTCATAACATGCAAGGAGTATATTACTAGCAAGAAAAACTTTTTAAAACCGCCATTTAATAAACATACAGCGCCATCTATTGTGGAGAAGCGGAAACGGTGCCAACAACAATGATGCGACATAAGAGGGCGCAGAGAGGCTTACTTGACAACTGAGATACAAACGAGTGATGCGACCAACGAAAAGAAAAAAAAAAAAAACAAATGCGGGATCAACAAGGACTTACAGGGTTCCCATATAATAATGGCTAAGCGACCGCTGCCCCTAACGGCCCCTTTCTGGCAACTCAGTTCCTTCCAATTTAAATTTTAAGTGAATTATTATAGTTTTTAATATCTTGATTTATACATATATGTATTTCATTATCTAAACATGTAAAAGTAAGTCGTGTTAGTTACACTACTTATAACTCAAGAACGGCTTTACCGATATGCCTGAAATCTGGTGAGGAGGTAGCTTAGATCCAGTAGAGATTATTACAGTAGTACTTTTTTTTTTTTTCGAATTTATGCCTTGAAGAGTTGCTTTTTAATAAACTTACATTAATTAATATTATAAATGCGAATGTTTAGATGGATGTGATGTAGATGGATTGGCGGGCTACCCTAATTTTTTTTTTTATACATCCACGCGGACGTAGTCGTATAACAGTGGTAGAGGCCGCTTTAACATTTTCGCACGAAGTGGCCCGGCTCGCCCGGTGAAATACCATGACCACACAGAAGACAGGCGTTGAAGTGGAAGTAATTCTGCGTTTCTTCTGATGAGTGTGCGTCCCGGATGCCTAATTTAGCCCTCTTTCCCATCCCACCCTTTTTCTTATAAGGATAGGATGGGAAGTGGAAGTGGACTTTCCAGATGAGATGATGCATGGGAGCATGGGAAGGGAAGGTCTTTCCTTTCTGTACATCGTCTCCTCCGTCGATTAAAGGTAGGCAACTGCAATTGCGTATGTCTATGGGCAACGGTCACTTCGCTATTTCAGCGATTTCAGGTGGCCGCTCGCTCGTTTGCCACGTCATGATATAAAAAAAAACAAATGAAACTCGGATCATACTACATAATAATTTTATTTCACATATTTTTTATAACCATAATATGAATATTGTTATTATGACTATGTATATGACCTCGGCGGTGTTTCCTCAACCATGTTCATTCATTTTCTACTTTTACACATAGTCATATCTGTAATGATTCAATACCGGTTAAGAACTGATCAAAACAAATTTCATCTTTAAACTATTTTAATTATTATTTTTTCTTATTGTGCGTAATTTCATTTTTGTGAGTAATGAGGCACGCGTATCACACACACACATACACTCATCAAAAAAAAAATTACTTTTAACAAAGTAAAAGTTTTAATGCTACATTTCGTGGAAAATATAAGCAAAATTTGAAGAAAAAAAATTGTTTATAATATTGAATTTTTCAATTCTACGGATTATTTAGTATAACAAAGTGGTTCCCA